CAATCAGGGTGAAGAAAAAACCATTCTGGCACAGCAGTAGGCTAGCCCCAAATTCTGAAACCACTATAAAAGCCTGACTCACAGATGAACACTATACAGAAGCCTGATGATGGCAGATGAGATTCTGCCGAAATGTTGCTACAACTTTAAAAGCACAACTATAATGATGTGGGAAAATACCCGAACAAAGCTGAATATCATCCATCCATCCATCCATCCATATATATAAACCAAGCTGACCCACCAAATGTTGTTGGAATGGTAATGAAAATACAAAACTGAATTGCAGTTCAACAATACCTGGACAGCCACATAGCACTCATTTCTGTGTTAAAAAAAGTAATTGCTTACACTAATTACTCAGACTATTCTAGAGCGACCATCACAGGAGTTATACGTTCAAACATTGTTCTGGATTGCTGGAAAGGCTTCTGTAATGGTGGTGGTGGACACTCAGTCCATCTATAGCTAGTCTTCCCCCTGTACTTCAAGAAGCTTTGCATCTTGTCACTGGTCCATATCTGGCTGTGACAGTTAGTGCTAACATGAAACACAGTGCAAATCGAAGGCTACACTGGTTTAGTAGCACTGTAATAATGTTGTACCCCATCCTAAATACACTTTGGGGTCAGAATCGTTCCTTGGATTAGGCCCACTGTTTATTTAAATATGATGTGCTGAGTAATTCATAATAACCCAGGTTCAGCATCATTACCCAAACTATAAGCAATAATTTAAAGGCCACAATAGCTGAGGTTCATGAACCTTGGCAAGCCAAATCAAACAATCTACTTTCGGGTTGGAGTGACATGCAAGTCCTGATATTAAGTACCATTCTACTTTGATGAAAGGCAGGATGTAAATCTAATGAATGATGAAACGGAGGTATCTGTCTTGCATTCAATTGACATAGGTCGAAATACAGTAAAGCTCTCAATTTTAGTGCTTCAGATTACAAATTGGGAATATTGCATTCTTAGAAGATCTGCTTATAAATCAAAACATCTACTCCTTGACCCCTGCCCAATCTAGCCTAAACCAGCTGTGGGGAGACAAGAAGAAATAAATGTCTTTTTCAGATGTGTGACTGCCCAATGGGATTGTCCTTACATAAACAAAATTAAAGTCATCCTTTGCTTCCATTTCAGGTAGCACTTAATGATGCAGCTCATTACAAAGAGGCTATCGCTGCAAATGAGAGACTGTTTTGCTCCCTTCCCTTTATCCATAAAGCCCTGTTTCAAGCTTCTATCCTTCAAACTTCTTGATTTATACTTGTAATCCCATTATTGTTTCAAACCGACATCTTCTCATTCTGACTAATCCAGCCATTTATTATGGGGATTGTGCAATTGCATTTGAGAAAGCCATGGTACTGTGATACCCAGATCCCTGAAATCAGATTTGCCTGGGAAAATGTTTAGCTTCCATAGATCTTCTTTATGGTGACCCACAGAAGTGGGGACCTTCAATTAATACTTAGATTACTACTGCAGCAAAAATCATATAAACAGATTGGCAAAGACGTAGAGAACTATCAGGGCTCCAGTAAACCCAGTAGCTCATTTATTTACATTTAAACTATTAGGTAATCTCCCACAAAAACACACCCAAAGTTTATTAATAATAAAGTAGATTATCTAACCACGCAGAGATCTTGGCTGCCGATCTAAAAATATTCCTTCTTACTTTGTTTTGCAAATATGTAAACAGTGAAGATTTGTGGGTGCTTGTTTGGTCTAGGCTGCTTGCAGCCTCTAAGTATTCTTCTAAGGCCCATGACAGATAAAACTCTGTAATATTGATTTGAAAATGTGACTTCTTTTAATTGATGAATAAATAATCTTTACAGATGAGACAGGGAATTTGGGGGAGGGGAACACACATTTTGTCTCAACGCTATATCTGTCTATTATCGCTTTCCCCAGGTTTTAGTCTCCAATTTTTCATCACCCAAATATCCAAACTCCCTCATGCCCTTACAAAACCAAGTGCATAACAATATGTCCAGTTCCAAATTCCTAATTTCGACTCTTTAAGAGAGGTATGTGCTGAAATGAGCAGAAGAATGTGCTGAAATGAGCAGAAGAAAAATCTTGTTGAAAAGTTGCCTCTACTTTTGCTCGTAGAAATTACTTGCAGGTAAGCTGTGTTCCCAACTTCCACCAACTCATGTACCTATAAAAGGTATATGGGATTTTATTTATTTAAACACATTCATGTAGTGAATTAACATCTGCAGAATAAATTCCTAGATAAATGATCCCAAGGCATTTTCAAGGCACGCATTACAGTGTGCTGAGCAGGCAGGGGAAATAAATAAAAGGCAGATAGTTTGATATGTAATCTGCATGCCAAGATGAAACAAAGACCGTTTTTTAAAAACAACAACGTATGTTTGCAATTCAGAAGAACTTCAAAATACTTACAGCAGTGACTCAGAGTTCCTAAGAAGAGGGTGGGGGCGCAGAAGTGTGTTGTCATACCCAGGAATGTAAATCCCCAATCCAGCATAACATACTAAAGCCGCCCAAATTGATGTCTGGGAAATGTTGGCCACTGATCAACCTAAATTATTAGCTCAACTCTGCCAATAATTGTCTTGCTCAACAAGTTACCAGAAGAAAAGCAATAAATAAAGTGTGCTCCTGCACATCTGATAATCAGCCCTAATAAGCTCCTCTGATTAAGCAGAGAAGTTGGTACACGCACACACATTGCACAATACTATGTTCTCCTGAGACACAGAGCTAGCAAGCATGTTGTTTTCTTCTGTATTCACTGCTGATCAAATGCCGCATGATCACACAAACTCTGAAATTTGGCACAATAGTCAGGTTTCTGCCTACGTTATCCTTTATTGTGAATGCACCAGCATTTTATTTTTCATGATATCTCTTTATAGGAATTCTTCAAGAAAAAGGCCCATAGATAGGCAGCCAGATGAGTCCTGGTGAATGCTTGGAGAAGTCCTGACATTTTTTTTCTGGCAAGATTTCAGAAATATTTTGTGTTTGCCTGATCCTACAGCTGAGACAGAGAGGGGCTAGCCCAAAGTTATGTGCCTGACTTTAAAAAAAAGCGTAGGGATTTGAACCCATCTACCATTACAATTACTGTACATAAGTTCAAGCAATGGACCAGCCTATATTGCCCCAAACTCCCTAACTGCTATCACCATTTGACCATACTGGCCTAGATTACAGCCTACACAGGAATGTTGGATAACACCCACAAAAGTATCAGACTGGACTACTATACAGGAAATTCATTTTTTTTGCTCAAGTATTTCTAACTCACACCCACTTGTTATTATTTGGGAAGGGTTTTTTTTATAAGTGGTTTGCCCTTGCTTGCTTTCAAGGGTTGAGAGAGAGTGGCCCAAGGTCACCCAGCTGGGCTTAAGGCTGAATCAGAACTCACCGTCTTCCAGTTTCTAGCCAAGTGCCTAAACCACCGCACTAAACTGGCTCTCATGCCATTTAACTCCACTTTTTAAAATTGCATGTTACTTGTTACAACATCCTGGAAACTGGACTGGTGGCTAAATGCACAAGACAGAGATCCGTATATGATGTTTATCTTAAACTCATTTCAACGGCTTATGACTTGGTTCATGTATCACACTAAATCATAGATGAAATGCAATTGTGATTTGTGGAACAAGCCATAGTCTTTCAAACATATTATACAAATACTATTATTGCTAAAATACCATGGTTTAACTTCAATAAATTTTTAACATAACAATCAGACTACAGTTTTGTAAATATAAAGCTTCCATCCAGCATTGTAACATTGAAATGAAAGATTGTAGATGCCTGCAAATAAAGCAAAGGTGAACTATTGTCCAATAATTATTATTAAAGCTATAACTCCCAGCATCCTTTATCTTAGTTATGTTGTAATCCAGTTATTCAAATAGTGTCTCCCTCATTTAAAGCTCAGTAAAGACAGAAATACAGGAACAAACACACATTAATTTTTCATATTGACTTTACAGATAAATATTGTAAGAAGTTTTTAAACTACAAAATAAATATCTCTTTTCTGTGTGAACTGATTCTGAGCCAACCACACCTTTGTGTAGTTAAAACTACATGCTTCAATGGACTTGGTTCAATTATATTCTCATAGTGCTTGATACTAGCATGTAATGATATTATAGCATGCTGTAAAGTGGAAAACTCTCAGAGAAACTGTTCTGTGGTTAAGCAACAATTCCTTTAACAGGATGTCATTCTTTTTGTTCCAAGCTAACCAAATACTTAGTTTAAAAAGAAAATATGAGGCTATATGTTGATTAATTTGCTAAGCTTTCTGCTTTAGAGTGGGTTGGATAAAGCTAGAATATTTTAAAAAAAACCAGAACTCTGAACAATGCTTACATTTCTGTTTATTTTTTCATTTTAAATTGGATGCTTAGTACTTCCAGATTTATTCAAGAGAAGTGAGGAGGAGGAGATTATTATAGTGGTTAAGTTTTGCATGGCTACTAGTCCACCCTAAGCACATAGTATTCCTGGTTAGCTCTGAATAAATAATTCTCAGTTATTCTGAGGCTGAGTTATTCATCTTCAAGGGTAAAAAGGAAGGGAACGGAAACAGTCTTGAGCTCTTGGAGAACTAGCAGACTGTAAAACTAACAAATAAATAGAACTGGGGGTCCTAAATTAATTTCCAGGCTACAGTGCCAGAACCTAAAACTTGTAAGAGTGTGTTCTGCTTTAGTTTTCCTTCCCTTACCATTTGTCTGAGAAGAAGTGAGATATGAAAAGCAATTCTGCTACTCTTAATGGGAGGAGCAGTTCTCTGCCTATCAAACTAAAGGGGATCCAAATGATATTTTGTAAATTTGATTCAAAAGTGGCAATTTCTGTTCCATGAAACTGACTTTTGATGCCTCAGAAAACTGTGCTAATATTCCAGCAAAACACTTATTTGGGAAACTCTTAACAAATTCTGTCCTGTGCTGTGCAAATATTTTATGAGGACCAAACATGTTGTACTTACGGACAAGGTAAGATGAATCTCCACATGATTACAGTTTTTGGAAAGCCTTTTCCTAAGTGCTCTCACTGCCTCCTTGGGTCTGTGGTTAGAAGAAATAAAACCAGAAAACATACTGATCATTAAAATTCTACATACATATTATTTCTCTTATAATGTTAGCTGAAAATAGGGAATCAAGATTGCTGAAATGAAAAACTCCCTAAGAGAAAAATTAAATCAAAATGGGAATAAAGCAAGGTAGCCACTTCAGTGACAAAGATGAGTTGTGTGTTAAGAGTACATACACTAGAGATGGGCAGCCACGGCAACTTTATGACTTATGGGTTTCAACTCCCAGAATTCCCAATCTGGCTAGGGAATTCTGGGAGTTGAAGTCCACAGGTCATAAAATTGCTATAGATGCCCATCCGACATACACTATGTCCTGCCAAAAAATAAAATTTCTCATTCCATTACAGAAGTTTGTACAATAGATGGTTAATTTCCAACATCTGCATGATCTGATATCCAAGATGATTTATATTTGGTAAATGTTAATTTATAGTTGACTGCATAGCATCCCTATTACCGAAGGTTGGATAACCAGCCATTGGGGACACCCACACAAGCTTTGCTGAAATGGTTTCCCAAACTCAGTGTACTGTTTCTGTCTACAGTAGAAGTAGGCATCCTATAGGCTTATCAAAATATTGAATTCCACCTCCAATCAGCCCCAAATGTAGCATGCCTAATAGTCGGTGTTGTAAGTAAGATATCTTTCCCAGAGGCATGGAAAATAATCATCATGTATATGAGAGAGAATAAAAACAAAGCAATATATTCAGAGTGACACCAAGATAGATTCTGAATCTACTCCCGCTTCTATTAACCTCCAAAGTCTTTAATTACTGAAAATCCAGCCTGCTTCTATCTGCATATTCTTACCCTTTATTGTAACATGTATGTGTGTGTGTGTGTGTGTGTGTACCAACACACACACACACACACACACACACACACAACCAGTCCTATTTTCCAACAACAATAAAGCATAAAACAACAAGCCTATGAGGTAGAATGGGCTGCGAAACATGACTGAGGTTAGAAACTCAGACCTGGGTGTCCCTACTCTTAATCCAATATTTTATCCATTACGCCATACTAGTTCATTTGAGGGACTATGTTGCATTTTTAGAAGGTGTAATGATGATTCTAAGCTTAACGGTGATTATCTTTGTTGCTCATCTAGATTTAAGGATAATGATACCAACCAACACTTAAATGACCAGTCCTTACTGACATAGTTTCAAATGCTGAACTGGACATGGGTTGGAGGGCTGCTGAACACTGGCTATTCTCACTGAGAGACACATAAGCCAAAGCAAAACTCATACAATCCTATTTCCCCCCTGTGAACATGGCTTCTCTTTAGGTTAAGCCCACAGATGTCAGTGGTTATGCAGATCCAAAGAAAGTCGGCAAGTTTCCGGGGGAACAAAAACCCAAAATGTTGTTTCTTTTTCATTTCTTCTGCTCTCTGAAAGTTGAACAAACAAGCAAACAAAAATTCACCTCACCTCTAGGGTATTCTCCCTCAAATTTGTTCCCTCCAGGTATTCTGACTGGCAGCTCCCATCAATCTTAGTTAGTATTAGTATAGTTAGGAAAGGAGGAGTGAAAATACAGAATATCTACCCAAACTGAAGATGTAAAGGCTGTTTTGGGGGAGTAACATAAAGCCTTTTGTGGAGTACAGTCTGATTATCCGAGCAACTGTCTATATCTTCATGATGCTGCCTGATACATTTACATAGAATGGGTATACTGTAGGCAGCGGTGGGATTCAAATTTCTTTACTACCGGTTCTATGGGCGTGGTCTGGCGTGGCGTGGCTTGGTGGCCGTGCCAGGGAAAGATACTGTAAAATCTCCATTCCCTCCCCACTCCACTAACCTGCTTTCCAGCTCCGTTCTCCTGTGCAGGACAACAAAAGAAGATCCAGCCAATCAGCTGGGACTCAGGAGGTAGAAAATAGATGGGGGGGGGGCAGGCAGAGGTGGTATTTGCTGGTTCTCTGAACTACTCAAAATTTCCGCTACCGGTTTTCCAGAACTGGTCAGAGCCTGCTGAATCCCACCTCTGACTGTAGGTCCCCTCTATTAAAGATTGTCACCTTATAGGATAGAGGAAGTATGCCTTCTCTGGCCACAATGCTTGCCCTCTGCAAAGCATCTCTCAGAGATATGAATGGCACCCACTTTCTTTGGGTTCTGAAAGGACTTTAAAAACTAGCAATTATCTGAGGTTAACATGTTTAGTTGATGTATTTGTGGAGGGCCCATCATATCTACATGGCCTAGCATTTTGATATGGGCTGCCTCCTGTGTATGTTTTCACTGTTTTTAATCTATTCTTCCTGGGTTTTGTAAGCCACCCAGAATCTAACAGAGTGGGCAACTATAATGAATTTAATAAATCAAATTAAAGTGAGATACCTTTCAAAACAATGTGCCAATTTCCTTTACGTGGTTGGAAATTGTTTTTGAGGATAAGTCCACAGGCAGCAGCACGGACAGCAGGAACAGTGCTATTGCCTTTGGCTGGGTTATACTGCTGTAACTATGAGTTGCTGTTTTTTGTTGAATTGGTTTGTTGCTGGTTTACTTTATTATTATTATTTTTGTAAGCCATCCAGGAAACACTTTTAAAAGGAAGAACAGATTCTACTACTAAAGTACAAATAAAAGACCATGGCTCAAGTCCAGAGACGAATCCCTACCAAATACACAAAGCCCATCCCAGAAAAATAAACCCAGGATTAGCAATAAGTAACTCTTCCAAGTACATATAAAGATCTGCCTATATCAGGAGCAATATAATGTATTAGGAGCAAACAGTAAGAGATAAAGCTTATTTTATTCTAATTCTGCTTTGAGCAAAAATTGCTCTTTGAAGCAATGATTCTCACAGACTGCTGTCTTCTAAATATATGGAACTGTCAATCAGTCAATCAGAATAGAGCTGGAAGGGGCCTTGGAGGTCTCCTAGTCCAACCCCCTGCAAAAGCAGGACATCCTATACCAGTGGTGGCTAAACATTTTGGGCTCCTGTGCCAAAAATTATGTGCGCGCTTGCGCGCGCGCTTGCGCGCGCGCTTGTGTGCCAGCATCCAGAAGGCAATGAATGAGGCCCCCCGCCCCCTGCGCATGCGTGTGCGATTCCCCCCGCCACCCCCTTACCTGCACTGCGCCTCCCAGCTGATTTTCAGCCCATTTGAGATCTTTTTCGGCCTCCCAGATGCTCGAGTGAAGCCTCTGCAGCCGTTGTAGGCCGAAAAATGGGCCCATTTCACCACTTCCAATATTTCTGGAAATACAGGAAGTGACAAAATGGTTTTTGGCCTACAAAGGCTTCAGAGGCTTCCCTCAAGCCTCTGCGAGGCCGAAAAAGGCCTCAAACAGGCCGATAATCAGCTGGGAGGTACGCATATGTGCAGTGAGGTAAGTTTGCCTGGGGCTCGCGTGCCACACAAATGGCTCTGCATGGCACCTGTGGCACGCATGCCATAGGTTTGCCATCACAGCCCTATACCATTTTCAGGTAGGTGGTTATCCCTATGTAACACTCTTTGGCTATGCTGGTTAAAGATATAGGAACTACAGGTAGTCCCTGAATTATAATTGTAACTGAGCCTAGAATTACCATCATAAATTGTTACAGTCGTAAGTTAAGGCTTCCACATGACAAAGTAATTTCCAGGCCTTTTTAAATGGTAGTTCTTAAGTAAATATAGTAATTGTTAAGTGAACGCGGCAGTTATTAATAAACCCATTCATTTGAATGGGCATTTTTAGCTGGAATTGTGGTCATATGGCTGAGGAATGCCACAATGGGCTGCAAAGCTGACTTGCCCAACATGCAGCCACATGAACGCAGGGAGCACATGGTGTGACTATTTACGGCGGCCAGGGGTCTTTTATGGGTCATGAGGTCCCCATTCTGTGGACATAACTGCAAACCTTCTTAAAGAAACTGGTTGTTAAGCAAGGACTACCCATATAGCCCAACTCATCTAGTTAGAGAAGACTAAGCTTAAACCTTTTTCTCTCCTAAGAGGAAGCAGCCAAGAGATACCACAGTATCTATCTGTGCATGAAAAGGGAAGAGTTACATTCAAAAATTATGCAAAGGCCCAGATATGTAGCCCCCAAAAATTCATCCAAGATTCTATGTTGAGTATACTACTTACTTCATACATTGAACTATGTCTACACATTTCTGGACTTCCAGAGTTGCTGAACTACCGTTCCCAGTAGTCTTCAACAATCATGGCTAATAATAAGGAATGTTAGTAACTGTAGTTCAGCACTTTCATGACAGTTTCCCATTGAAGCAGCCATCTCCATTACAAGTCATCATAACAGATCGGTGGTGTTGTATTATCATGCAAATAGTGCAATTCTGTGGTTTAATGACAATATGGCATCTGATGTGAGGACAAGTTGCATTATTTGCCTCTATCCTTGTGTTACGTGAAGTAGGTTTAACTTTTTTTGCATGTTGGCAGAAGAGGTACTGTCACTTCAAGCAAATCAGGGTATGCTACCCTACATAGCAGTAGTTAGCAAATAGGGTGCATACTTGGGAGCGTTTTGAATATTAGTAGAACTCTTTTGAATACAGAATCTGACCCACCCATAAAACCCATTAAAAAGTCATGGTACAATGAAAAAAGTCAATTTGTTCTTAAACAACAAACCTTAGGATATAGAATTACATACTCAAAACAGCATGCTGCTTCTTTGCAGTTACACACCTCAAATAGGATGTTTTCTGCTAGATGCCCTGTAATTGCTGCTTCAGAGATTTCCTGGAAATACAGTTTATGGACAGAGCATTGGCAAAGGTGTTAATTAGTCACACTTCGTTTGCGGAGCAAACACTCTTTCTCAGGCAAAGATACACCTTGGGATTGCTCTGTGGATAATGGACTTTTCTGCATTTTTTTTGAAGGCAGGACACCAATGTACTTAAAGATGGTCCCTGACTTATGACATTTCACTCAAAGATGATTTGAATTAGCAACATCTTCAGTAAAAG